ACCAGCTTAGACCAGCATGGAATTCATGATGGTCTATGCCGGATTTTACAGCAGGGGTAACTACATTGTATAAAAGTAAACCCTACTAATAACCTGTCAGGTTTGACAGGGCTTCAAATAAGGAGTGTTTCATTATAGAAAAAAAAGAGACAGAATAAAAGAGCTGCATTTGGAGCTGAGTTTAAAGGAACGAGACAAAACAACCTGAAACAGCTGGTTTGTCTGTAGTTTGTACAGCAAATTTGCTAGCTGGCTAGCACAATAGTTAGTCCAGCTCAAGTCTTAGTAAGATTTAAAGAAATGCATCCTTAAACTTACTAAAACCTAAGCCAGATGAGCTGACAAGTTCAGATAATTTAGCAATAATTACAAATTAGCAATTGTGCTAGCTACCATACTTGCTATCCAAACTACACGCTAGATAACATTCCTTGCCTCATTCCTTCTAACACTGCATTTACTTCATGTAGCATTTCATTCTGTCCATCAGAAGTTTTTTATATAACGAAAGGCTCATTATTTAATGCCATATTGAATCTGGTTCTGCTGCGAGCTGTGGAAGAACAGCAATGCAGTAAAGACTTCTCATGACTGAAGCAGAACTGACAGGCAAAGACACATACGTCAGGTTGGAAACAAAAGGTTGGTCCAAATTTAATCTCTTTTTTGTGTGTGTGCTTTCTTCTCAGGATGAAATTTCACAAGCTTTAAGTCGCGAGTCAGTTAAGGTCATGAACATCTCATGGCAATCTCTTTAAAGCCAGCCGTTTTAAAAGACTTCCTATGCTAGATATCACATGAATTTATTTGTTATTAACTCTAACAGTGTTACATTCAGAGACTTTAGCTTGGTTCCCTATTAACTCATTAAGATCTGCCCCCAGAGTAGTTGGTACTGTTAATTTCCATGTTGTCAGGTGAAACAGATCATGCACCATGTTGTCTATCACTGTATAAAAGAAGCACCATGCTGCCTTTATTGTTGGATTCACTGCAATAGCGTGCAAATCTGAGAAGACCTTGCCTCAGCATTAAAGGGATAATGTGCCCAGCTAGGGTCACATTAGATGTGTCCTTGTCAGCTTCATCTATTGTGAGTATTATATAAACTTGTAAAACATTAGGAAGCATCCTTGTTGTTACATGGATAGTCTTTATCCAGGGGTGCTTTAATGGATTTACATTTAATTTATGGTTAATTTGCATGCTTTCAGGGTGTTGTTTTCAAGTCAACAAGAGTATAAACATCTTTACTCATGATAAATGTATGGGACAATCTCAGAGCAACCAAGGCCAAACTCTCAAAGCTCACACTGTGATGAATACATGAGAATAATTACATCAGAGATATGACTAACACTGGCTTGTAACTGTCACACAAAGCATGTCATCAAATCACTCATCACAGAGCAAGAAAAAAGCTCTTGATCCACAGCGTCTACTAAACCTCACTAATCTGACAAACTGAAAACGTGCCAATCATGTCCCATCTCCCTCTTCACCCAACTGTTGTTCTGCGCGGCTCCCAACGCAATGGCAGCGAGAAGGGAGCAGCGTAACAAGTATTTGATTCTTTCAAAAGCAATTAACTTCTCTGATTAAGAAATCTTACTTAATGTAATTACTTTGTACTTAAAAGATTCATTTCATCTTTTGGAAGCATGGCGTGCTTCTGTTTATGTTGGAGACTATTATCTCTAATGAGATCTGACAATTTAATTTGAGTGCAGTGGTAGCCTGGGCTGCGGTAGATGGGGAGGCTGCGAGCTCCCTGGAGAACGAGACTGCTCGACCAATAGGAGGACACTAGCAAGACACGGCCCACCCCCAAGGCCACTCACTGACCCTCATGTTGACCACTACCTATCAGACCTGTCTGATCTCTTATCTCTGCATGTCAGCTTTATGTGTGGCATCCCGATCGTGTAGTACCCTTGTGAGATGCATGCACATAAAGCACATGTTCAGTTTTAGAAATGAATAAGAACTAAAAATGGCCATTAATATTAATATGTGCCCCTATTTTTGTAGACTCACTATCGGGGCATTTGAAAATATTACTGGTGGCTCTGTTTTAGTCTATGTGGGCCAGAGAGCATCTGCTGTTTATTATCTTTTTTTCCCTAAATTGTGCTTTTTTCTCTCTCCCTCCAGCCCATAAACACATACGCAGACCACCACGGCTCCCAAGATATGATCTCTCCTCACCTTTTCTATAAATGTGATTGGCTAAGCACGGTATCAATCGAAACTTCATTTGTCAATCTCCGGTGTTGGCAAAGTGGCAACTTTCAGATGGACAGAAATGATGAAGGTGTTGCATAAAAAAAACACAGGATACAATATTAAAAGAAAAAGCTTCACTGGCAGATGCCACAAAGTATTCCAAATTAACTGACCTTTTCGGTCAGCTAGTAATAGTTTGCCAGAGTAAGATAACACTGCAATTTTCTCAGCTACCTGCAGTGCAACTGAATCCCACTGTTTAAAGTGCATTAAGGCATTTTATGTCAAATAAAAAACAAAACAAAAACACTAGGTACAAAATAAATTCAAAAATGATCATTTTGAGATAATAACATATTGTTCCATTCATTATCATCTTATATGTTATACTTATTTTTATTGTTACTTTATTTTTTTATAGATACTTATTTATGGGTATACTGTATTTATTACATTTCATATTTTTCATGTCAGTTTACTTTCTCTCTGTTTCTTATGCTGGCTTTTAAGTGCCTTTGTCATTGTAAAGCACTTTGAGCTGCATTTTATTGTATGAAAGGTGCTATACAAATAAAGTTTACTGTTATATTAACATTATTACAATCACTAGTTCATTAATAAGCTGTTTGATATGCAATTGTTTTCTAATTTCAGAAAAAACTGCCATGAAGCAAATTCCTCAGGCGATTTTTGTTCCCATTCTGCCTGTGGACAGGAGCATCAGTATGCACTGAAGGCTTCTCAAAGAAACCCTGACCATCAGCAGCTCATTCACCTTCATCATTGCTTTTACCTTGTCTAAACGATCAGAATTAAATGGCCAATTCATTTCTCCCTCACAGCAGAAGAAACACAGGGAGTGTAATATATGGGATGCTGACACTGTGGTACTGGGGTGTGGTGGCGGTAGTGATCCCCCTGTGATTTGACCCATAACAGCAAAAGGCATCACAGCACCAGCCAGTGTAAGGTATAAATCACTAAACCTCAAAAAGCAGTGCTGAAGGGAAAAAAAAACAGTACATTTCAAATAGTATAGAATTCAGGAATTAATTCAGTATTTGGATGGATTTTAATCCTTAGAAGTCAAGAGTTATTACTTTCATTTTGCTCTACAATTTAAATGTAATGTCGTAATTACATCACATTTAATTACAACATCTCCGTTTCAAGAGTCTATTGACTTTCTCTGTTTGTTTTGGTGGCGAGCAATAACAAAAACATGCCAGAGGATGATTTCTCTTCCACTCAAAACAAGACAGCGCAGACAATAATAACTTTTCATTAAATTCAGATCATAATAAAACACAGTCCTGTGTAAAAATCAGAGACTATCCTCCATTTATTTAATTTCCAGTCAAAACAGATATTAAGTACAAGCTAAGCAGGAAAGATATACAACAGAAAATTACACAGAAGCCTCAATGACTAAATATAATTTCAAAATGTTCAGTACTTAGTGTGTCCACCTTTTATGTTTATTACAGTTTCCATTCTTTTTGGGTGACTTGCTTTCAGTTTTACAAAGAAATCTGCAGGAATACTTTTCCACACCTCCAAAGTTCAGTCTTAGAAGCTGGTTGCATTTTCTGCTTCTCAAAACCTCAAACACATTCAATGATGTTGAGATCTGGACTCTGGGCTGGTCAGTCCACTGTTCTGAGAATGCCAGCAGCTTCTTTGATTTTGTCTCCTTTTCTCAGTAATGTATTATTTTTATCCTGAAAAATGAATAACTTAATGGCCATTTTGACTGGAAATTAAGTACTGAAGGTTGGTCCCTGACTTTTGCACAGTGCTGTATCTCCTCTTCTACTTACAAGCACAAATGTGGTGCTGATAAAATCTATATAACATGTACTTTCAATAGAATTTATCCACTTGTTTCAAGTAACTGTGAGTGACAAATAATTAATATTGAATCACACCATGTTTTTGTTATCACTGGCGATAACTGCAATTTCTAAGGGTTAATAAGCAGAGACATGCTATTCATTGTCATTTTGCTCCTAATCTAGGAAGCATCAGGCTTCAACCTTGTCCCCCTGGTCTTAACCAGTGCTGCTATATTCAGCCCATGAACAGCCTCTGTTCGGCCTTCTAGGCAACTTCTGACAGTGACATACACTTTATGTGGTGTAGTTCTGTCAGGTTACTAGCCATCAGCTCATCAATCAAACTAGATTGAACATGGTCTAAATCACAATCTTTTAATGAGTCCTGATGTCAACATCATCCACTTTGTTCTGGACAAACTCCAAGAACTACCATGGAGACAACTTTCATACGCCATATACTGCACATCTATGGGAGCCACTCTATTGTGAAGAATTGATCTGCATTCCGCAGGGAAGACGCAGACAGATGACAGCCGATATACGACTGAGCAAATACACAGAAATATGCCTAAAGCAATTAACGGAAAGCAGCGGACAGAATAGATTAATTATCTCACGGATCACTGAGGGACGAGGTTCGTGCTACTCTTTCTCAACTGCCACCTGACTCCTCCATATACAAGACAAATACACAACAGAGGAGGAAAAAAATAACTATATAAACAACCCACACCAATGGGACGTGTCCCTCAGAGGGAGGCAGATATAATTACACTGCTGTGATTATCAATTAAAGACCTTTGTTCTTTAAATTACTGGCACGACCACGTCTACCTTCAGGAAGAGAGCTGAAGAAGCTTTAGGAAGAATCCAATAGGAACGTGTGCAATGCCTGAAAGGTGACTGAGGCAGAAATTGGTTTTGGAGGACGCTTACCCTGCTGACCCCACGGCCACGGTCCTCTCCATAGTTCGTCCCCAGGATCTCAAAGAAGATGTTGGGGTTGGTGCCGTTATCATTGAACTCCAGCAGACTTGTCAGACCACTCACACCTCCCTGAAAAGTGCAAACAATTCTGTCCATTAGGTGTAAACTTTTCTTTCTCATACATATTGCCTTATTTGATATTTGATAAAAAAAATAAACCCCTCTATTTGTTCTTTGAGAGGCCATACTGTACATTTGTAATATTCAAATGCATTTTCCAACTATTTTCCAACCTGTAAGAATGTCTTACAATTAAACTGTTTTGTTACCACACCTTTAAAATCAATATATGCAAATTACCTCTGTTCTGATTGGCGAACGTGCTTTGTTCATTCAAAAACCAAATGTGGAACTGTAACGTTTGGATTGAGATCCTCTGGATAATTTCAGTGTGAGAGGGTGGGCTAAACTACCATAGGCGGAGATAAATGTTTTCATGGTTGTGACATCACAACCATGATGAATATACAACAGGCTGCTTTCATAGCTTAACACCATATATGGACCACATAGGCTAGAAAATGAATGTTAGTTTCCAAAAAGTAATGTTTTTTGTTTAATGCACAGTACACCAAACTTTTCTTTTTCAAAAAATTGGGTATTCATTATATGGCAAAATAAAAAAAAACACAACTACCAACTAGCCAAACTGCAAATTAAATGATTCCTCTAAAGAGAACACATTAAAAAATGAAGTGTTGCATGTACAAAGTTATGGTACATTTTAGATTTAAGTTTCTTTTTTTCAAATATGTTAAACTCAGCAAATAACTAGAAATTTTGCTAAGAAAAAATGTAAAGTTTCCTGTAGAGGATGTGTTAACTTATTTTCGCTTTAAAAACAAAATGTGTAATTTGACTGGGGGTGTTACACTTGCACATGCCTGTATGATAAAGATATGATCATTGACTTAACAGTTATTATTACCACAATACTGCATTTCACACAACAAGCAGATGCTGCCAGTCTTAGAAGAAGAGACTCCATTCAGTTCTCACTCTCTCATCTCCGTCTGTCTGAAACAAAAGCACAAAAACTCGGAGCCTATTTCCGTTCGGCTGCTCTAAATCCTCTTACACCTTTCCTGCAGTATCTTAACGTGGCGCCATGCTCACCGCCAGCCTCAGCTAAAACTGCCGTAATTGTAGAGAATGTAGCACGCCAATGTCGGGCCTGACAGAATTAATTAGACAGCCAATTATAAAAGCTGACGAGTGCTTTCCAAATGAGTTCACCAACTGCTGTATTGAAAAACCAATAAACACAAAGTTCCTCTAATTAAGCTGTAGAGCAACATTCCAATGGACACATCGCAGGAGGGACAAAATAGGAGCCCATTATCCGGTCAGTGTACAGTAAAATGCTCAGGAAATGCTCTGGTCTAATATAATCTATATACCTCTTTATAGCTCTTTAAAGTAGTCCTGAGTGGAAAGAAAGCTTAAAATAGACCTCTTAAACTGTAACTTCTACTGAATCATTGATAACAAACGAATCTTTAAAAGCTACCTACAGGCAAAAGCACCGAACAACATCCCCAGAAAGCAGTACATAAATAAATATGAACATTTTATGTCAGTATTTGAAGATGACACAAATAGCATTGTATTGACGTAAGGGGAAATATGTATGAAAAGATTCCCCCCACACAGCCCATGTTATGAGTCGACTGTTTGATGTGATGATGCTTTTCTTGTCACATGGCTAATGGAATTTTCAAGGCTATGAATAGAGCTTGTCCCTTTTTGCTGCAGTAGCAGCCTCTGTTCCTCTGAGGAGGCTTTGAACAAAACATTGCTTTGAGGATTTGATTGTATTCAGCCGTATATCAGTTCTGGATCACAGATGCACTGCAGGTCACACTCCAGCTCATCCCAAAGGTTTTGGATGGAGCTCCATCACCCCAGAGAATGCAGCTCTACTGCTTCACAGACCTGTCCCAATTGGGCATGGTGACCCTCAAACTCATGTGTGGCTGCTCCAGAGCGTCCTGCTCTACGGGCAGTGCTTTTCTGTGGAGATTATACCAGCTGTGTGCACACCTGAACACCTTAAAGTAGCTGAATTTACTAATTAAAATAGGTGTCTGGACACTTTTAGTAATATAGTGTAATTCTGAATACTGAATTGATTGTTTTTAGTGATTTCTATTTTTTTTAGTTCATTTTTCTTATCTCATGTACACCACATTTATGGCATCTTGGTTCTACTCCAGAGTGTCATCGGTGCTGAGCTCACCCTGTAGGAAGTACCTTGTAAAATACTTACTGTAAAATTACAGTAAATTACTGGCAACTAGTCACATTACTTTCACAGTAATTTACTGAACCAGTAAAAACAGTGAAATAACAACTGCATACTGTGACTTTACAGTCCCTAATCTGCAATTTTTTGCTTTTAAATAAAGTAAAAGATAAACTAAAATAAATCTAAAACAATATGAAACTAACATCTAATATGTTCTAACATGCAAAACATATTATTAAAATTATATTATTTTATATTTTTTCTAAGGTTTGTGAGTTGGAGTGAGTTGCACCAACAAAACCATAGTGCAGCTTTTAAAAAAGGCTATGAATAACTAAAAGTATAATGATTTTTTTCCTTCAACAGCAAGCTATTATGAGCTAGTTAAGAAGGAACAGGAGGAAAAAACTCAAAACAATAATTAACCAAATGAGATAATGGCATAAAATGTTGCGATTCAATCAGCTCCATGTTACTACGCAGTTTAAGCAGTTACTATGCAACAGTTGTTGTGTACAGACTATTTATAAATGCCCTTTTTTATGACTCATGCAATAATAATCTATAATTATAACGATAATATATTGTCAAATTGTCCACCCAAAGCTCTACATTACAGCAACTGACATGAAGCAATGAAGCACTTTGACTTAAAGGAAAATTTCAGCAGTTTTTTCAAAATGTCTGTGTATTTCAATTGTTAAGACATAAACAAAATTATTCAGAGTGGTTTCATGTTAAGTGCTCTGTTCTAAAGAAACTTACCGACTCAGAATTGTTCATGCTGGTGGTGATAGGAACTGGACGTCTGAAGTGTTTAATGTCTCTAAACCTTCCCTCACAGAAAGTTACTGCATGAATTCATTGCCTGAGACATTGATTTATGTTCATTTTGAGAGAAAGTTTTGACCTAAAATGTAATTTTTTTAAATTTATTCAGGCAGACATAAACAGACAGGATGTTGTAAAGAAAAGCAGGACCTATTTTTAATATTTACCACTACATTTCCATGACCAACGTTACATATAAAAACTCAGAAGACATGTGTAGGTTCACTGGTGGTTTTGGATCATAAATAAAATAGCTATATTTGTATATTTAGTGTGACACCTGATTCCTATCGTAAAAAAAATATCTGAGTCAGTACATTTCTCTAGAACACTTTCACATCAAACCACTTAGAATGACTTCCTTTACACCTCAAAAAATGAATTAGTTTCATTCTGCAGACATTTTGAAAAATCAGAGGAAATCCCCTTTAACTGGACTTGGGAATGATGCTTCATAATTAAAGCTGCAACAATTAATCGATTAATCGATGAGCTGTCAACTATTAAATTAATCGTTACCTATTTTGGTTATAGAATAATCGGTTTAAGTATTTTCAAAGAAAAAAAGTAGCCTCTTAATTTGAATATGTTCTGGTTTCTTTATTCCTCTGTGATACCAAACTGAATATCTTTGAGGTGTGGACAAAAAAAAAAAAGAAATCTGATGACATCATCTTGGGCTTTGGAAAACACCAATCAGCATTTTGACCATTTTCTGACATTTTATAGACCAAATAATCGATTAATCAAGCAAATAATGAATAGATTAATCGTCAATGAAAGCAGCCCTATTCATAACAATATTACAAATGGAAAAAAATGTCCATCCCTTTAGTACAAGGCCATAAAATTCCATCAAAGCTCTCATGTCATCTTGTGAATATAGACATTAATGTTACTAAGAGCTTATGTCCTGCTTCTTAAATACACTGTTCAATGCTTGTCCATGTGTTATGAAGTCTCCATGTAGGCAGTCTAACACTGAATTATTATATGAAGACCTTGAATCTGTGGACTGTGCAGATTCATACACTCACTGCTGCAGTGCTCGAGTACACTTACTGGTCTGAATTCATACGTCAGGCTCTGCTCGTAGCTCAGCAGAAGTAAGAACACACAGCACGGTCATATCTCTGCTGGTGGATGACAGGACTGTGCTGATACATGTGCATACAGATATGCTACAGCACCCTGGGGGTAAGGCCATTCTTCACACAGCACAAAGAGCGCTAGCCCACACCCAGCCCCTGGCCCTGTAAAACAAACGCTAGCACCCCCCCAAACCCTGCTGTTCTCAAGCACCACAGAGGGCAGGACAGCAGAAAAAAAAGCAAAGCACGGAGGCAGCGGGGGAGGAAGAGTATTGGCCCTGAAGAGAATCAACCTGTCTATCACAACCCTGCAGGTGAACGAATACACAGAAAGACTCTTTCGGGAACAAGTATACACACTTAGGCACACAAACAAGAGACGTGCCATCTCACACGTACACACACTCTCTTTCCACTGCTGTCATGAACAAGTGCACCTTTCCTGTCAAAAGTTTGGGCACACTGAGCTTTTTTTTTTTTCTTTTTTAAATACTAGCTAGAGATGTTATAATTTTGAGATTCTATTATTTCACCATAACAGTCAAAATCTCGAGAAACAAATTGTAACATATTACTGCCATGAACACTGACAAAAAACAGGCAACTGTCTCCTCTAACTGGTGAGAACAGACCTCAGAATGCACACTTCCCTGTTGTAGCGTTCCTTGTTCCAGCTTTAAAAACATGAGGCATTTTCACAGGTGAGAGGTTTTTTTTACAGGAGGTTCACTGAATAACGTGAAAAATGTAACTGAAATCTCATGCTCACACAGTTGTTTCCACTGAAGGTCAAATCTGCATTCAAATTAAAGGTGGCTATAACAGGGCTGGACTTCACAGTGTGAGTTTCTCAGTTTTTATTGTGTGGCTTTTCTGGGGGCAGCAGCATTTGCAGGATTGGCCAATGGCCACACTTTAAGAATGCAGTGAATCACTAACGAGTCTAGATATGTGCATTCAAGTATTCACCCGGTACATGGCATTTGTCTCCATTTATTTGATATAGGACTACATTACAAATTACCATGCGTTTCTATCTTTCTCACTCTCTGCAGCCTACACACAAAATGGCCCACCGGGAATTATCCTGGGCCTGGTTATATGAAACACCTTAAATTGAATTTTCACTTAGGATTACCCTTAAGTATTTCCTAAGCGTATGTGTGTTGCACAAAAACTCTAAGGTGGTACTTAAGGGGTTGCTTAAGTGAAATCATTATACTACCTTACATTTTCCATTAATGATCAAATTTCCCTAAAATAATATCCCTAAAATAATCCCTAAAGCACTGGATAAAGTTCCTTAACTATCATTTTCCTCATGATATTTCAAGGTAATGAAAGGATTATTGGCGTACGTGAGAAGCTAAAGATGTGGCAGAGTTGGAGATGCTTGAAGAGAAGAATGTACCTGTGAAGTTATTCATGATAGAGAGAATGTTAAGCACTAAAACGATTGAGAGGGCACAGATTTGACTGTCGCTAAATGTATAAAGCTAGCGAGCCGGAAGACAACCTTGACCGGCACACCGCTAGCCGGAAAATACCGGCCTTTAACACTGCACTCATGTTTTAGTGCATGTAGGGTGCTGGAGGAAATAATGTCTTTAAATGTACATGACATATACAGATAAACAGATATTTCCTTCTACTCTAATGTATGCTCAGATTAATGTAAGTTGAGTTGGCCTACCTAGCCTTCACAGCAACAGCCATGAAATCAAGGATTTTTTTTTTGAAAAAGTCGTCACACAATAATCCAACATATATCTTTATTTAAAAAAATAAGCTGTTGAACTTGGCTAAAATCTGCCTTTGTTAGTAAAGGCACTGACCAACGCGCAAAACGGCCAGCCAGAGAGTGATTTTATATGAGGAGGTAGGTGACTGCAGAGCTGGTAAAATGCTACAAAATAGTGGAGTTTTCAGCCCATAGTGGGAGTATTTTCCATGTTCATGTCCTGTGTATGTAGGCATGGCCATTACTAGATATGAGGACACTGAGGTCCAGACCTCGGTAGCTTCAGAAGGTTTTTTTTTTATCACTTTTCTCCATTCATGAGATTAAATGTAGAAACAACGCCCTTATGTCTACTCAGGGCCGCAGCCACGGTGTCGCAGACCTACCCAAACTGGGACCGAATATTTAGTGTGCCACATTTTTTATGATGATGAAATTTGATTTGTTTTCCGTGAGCACTGTCACTGTATTATGGCCAATCAAAATATGCCATGCTCGGTCTAATTTTCCAAACCCTCCAATAACTTCTTAGCAACCGCTGCTGTCCACAATTACTTCAGTACATTAGCAGCATGTTTGTGACTAGCATTGGGACCTCAAGGTTTTCTGAAGTTTCTGAAGGATTTTCTGAAATTCAGTGTGGAAAAGATGTAACTTCACTACTCAGTGAGCAATGACTGGTTCAGAACAGCTGTGGTTCGGCCAAAGACTTTACTGCCTCTGTATGAGGCAGTACTGTCTCTGTAAGTTTATCAGCGCAATTAACACATTACGATTGCAAAATGCAAAGCTTGTATTCCATTTGTTTGTTTGAACTGTTTGTAATGTTGCTGGCTAAATCAGCATTTTTAGTCTGATTTAGTTTTAGTCTAGCTCCAGTAACTGCTCAGTTTAGGCTACAGGCTCCGTAGTGGGCAATATTAGCGTTTAGATGAGAAATTAAAGTTACCCACTCATGACTGCACTGTACTGCCTTGAGAAGAACACCAACTCCATACACTGACATGTATCCCCTTGTTGTGATGTCACCACTCATCAGCACTCAAACATTTTAGCCACTAAAACCACCTTGGGACCAAAGGAGTATGCAGATTACAGTCAATATAAATATTTTTTATATACAGTGGAGCCCAAAAGTCTGGTATTTTTTCATTTAAACCTGGAAAAAACAACAGAAAGTTTTAAAATCTTGAAATATTTTAAAGAAAGAAATGTTATGGCAATTCAAATGAACAAGAAATATTCAAAATTATTTCTTGGTCACTATACAAATTGAAGCGAATCTGTCAAACTGACCATGTTTTATATCTTTGTATAAAATAGATTTTTTAAGTCTTATTTCTTTTATTGAAACACATGTTCAGATGACTCACAGAGGCTTATGGAGTTATGGAGTTCATGCCAGCTTGAGTGCATGTTGTCATTAAAGTAATGACATATCCATTACCCAGAAATTCTGAAATTCATGTAAACATTTAGATTCTACTTTTAACTCAGATTGTTATACTGATAATATCATTGGTTACGAAACATTTTGCATTAAATTAGAACGAAACAGAAGCATTTTCACCAGCCGTCTCAGACTTTTGGACCTCACTGCATATATTCTTTCAATTTTCAATTTCTTACACAACTAGCAATGCACCAAAAGCTGTCCTCAAAAAACTGAATTACAAAGTTTGCTTAGCTAGCTAACTAGCTCACTGAAGCTAGCCTTGCCAAGGCACAGCGTGATCCTACAAAAAATTTGCAAAAAATCAACATGTGACCCTAAGACCTTAACCATGATCTCTGGAAGCCTTTTATGGGTTTCCTCAATGTATCAGACTGAAGGATGAAGCATCAGCTCACATAAAAAGCTGAGGGAACATAAGGACCTGTGGACATATGACCCTGGGAATATAGGTACACTCTGCTGCTCCTCATACTAAAGAAAATATTTTGATTAACATGAAGCTGAGTGTTGCAAAATATACCCAAAATTTAAGTAACATTTAGTAAACATATCTGTACAGATACTTTTTCTTACAAAAAGGAATAGGTGAAAAATAAAATTCACAAAACTCTCCCTTTTGTTTAAATGTAGTCAATAAGCTAAAACATGTTTGGTGTCTGAAGTTAGTTTTGCACTGGAGTTACACAGCTGATGCAGCTAAAAGCAATGGAAACTTATAGTCATTGATGAGCATCATGCAAACTGTATGCTTCTCTCAAAGTAACAGACTTCATTACATGATTCTGAACACAGTATTACACACTCACACACTGTTATCTATAAAAATACATCAGCAAGCTAAAAACGGGCAGTTTGCACAATGCTTATGGGTGGTAATTTCTTGTTAGATAGATTAGCCTTGTACCTTCAGTGCAAGAAATAAATTCTGTAAACAAACAAATCTACTACACTTGAGGTAAATGGACAATTGTGTACATTTGCATTTTTTTGCCAAGCTACCACTTAAAAAAACAAAAAACAAATAAAGTTCAAATTCCAAAAGAAAACACGAAGCTTTTTCCAAGCAGTAAGTCTCCTTACCTTCTTGATGGTCTCCAGCATAGAACGGCCTCCCTGCCAGGGCTTGGAGCCTTTGCGGATGCAGGACAGGCTGGCCATGCTGTGCCATTTGCGGTCCTCCAGCTTTCTGTGGAAGGTGTTGGCCAGCAAAAGCACCGTATCATAGATGTACCGGTTGGTGATCTGACCAGAAGAGAGAGAGATAGAGAGGAAACAGGTGACAGATGAGCAAGGAGAGCCAGTGATGCTCAATTAATCATCCCCTTACCAGAATGAAAAAAGATTTAGGTCTACTGGCTGGATACAGTAGTAGAAAGCTTTTTTTTTCCGTACAGTATTATGGATAGCAGGTGCACGCCATCTTTCCGTTTAGCGCTCGGCAGTATGGCACAGCTGTGAGAGCTGATGATAACGCAGCGGTAGCAGAAGTGGGCGACGGTTCTTTCATCAACAATAGGAAAGCTGCACCTAACACCTGGCATTTGACGTTCTCGGGCTTAGCGCTGTTTGCACAAAGGTTTTAGCTTCCAGCAGGGCATAAACTATTATTCACGGTGCTTTAATAAGCCGTGGCTGGAGCTCGTTTGCCTTTTCTTGTCTTTTTTCATGTTTCCTTTTCTTTTAAGCACGACAGTAGGCATAATATAAGGCAAATGCAGGAGGTGGAGGGCCAAGGAGGGGGACCTGGAATGAGAATTAGATCATTAAAACACGCTCTGCTACAGATACACTCTATACTTACACGCACACACTGTAGTCCGCATGGCGTTGGAAGGAAGAGGGGAGTTAATTCCGCTCTGATCGATTGCGCTGCTCTGATCTCGCCCGAGTGTTGTCTCCATTTTAATGAGGCCGTAATAAATAGAGTGGAGTGGCCATTAGGTTTCTCCTGTTGTTTATTAACCCACAAAGCTTTCGCACACTTGACACTGTATTGCACAGCGCACGTCTGTGCTCTATGTAAGCCTATCCATCCAGGCCGGGGTGACAAGTAATTGAGGAAAAACCTCTCTACATCAGCATTTGGCTGCCCTAACGGTCAAGAATGCACAGCCCATAATGGCAATTTACACACGCAGTCACTGCCACTGTTGAGAAAACGCATATACCATAGCTGTTTCAATGACGTGTGATGAGCTGCAGTAGAAGCCTCTTGTTTGTCGGTACACACATGGAGACAGTAACGGTATGCGCTCCGCACAGCAGCAGGACAAAACTGACAATTATCGTGCACAGACGTGGAGCCGACTAAAGCAAGCAATTACAGTATCTACAAGGCTAATGTTGGCACTTTAATGTTTATCTTCGCTCCGAACAAGGTGACCTGGGTACAGCAAGCATGCCACGCTCTACTCTAACGGGACCCAACAAAGGACTCCTCTCTTAAAGGTTCCGAAGGAAAAAAAAAGGCCACGCAATCTCCAGACTCCAGCAGGGACGCGCTGTTTGTATTTACACCACAAGGACCTTCTCCTGCCGCCTTAACTGGGCCTCAGAGAGCCATCTGGAAAGAGAACTGAAAAAAAGAGCAACAACTTGAAGAAAGAGGCCCAGACAGGGAATCCTCTCCGTTACGGAGCTGGCACCGCCATTATTTCGGCCTTCTTCTGCATTTTCTCCCAGTTCTCGCCGGCTTTTATCTCGCAGAGAAAAGCACACGGTGTCTTTAGTTGGAGATGAAGCAAGCTGACACTATGGGGGATTCAACAGTTGCGCAATGTTTTTCCTTCTTCTTTTAGGAGCCTATTTATTTCATGGTGTAGTACAGTGGTTCGCAATGGGCATGGTGCCCAAGACATACTCTCAAGCCCAAGCAATCTGGTCAAAAGTGTGTTTATTTTATTCCATTTTTAATGTGAAAAACAATAAATTATTGTTGTAATAAAAAACACTAACTGTGGAATTTTAACTGCCATTTGTTGGTGGCTGTTGTCTGTTAATGTATAGCTCTTGTTGAAATCAATGGCAAGACGTACATGTTTCAACTATATGAACCAGATTTCACAGATACCAAAGTGTCTTTGTGCACAACACATTTCAGCCTGTAGAATCAGAGCTTTCTGTGAGTTGCCATGTTTTCTATAATTAAATAAAACGTGCACTAGGCTTCACTGTTTGATCTCATTCGCAACTGAATTTGGATCGGTAATCAATTATTAATAATTTATTTAATCAAAATAATGACAAAGGGCGACTGATGTGTAGGACTTAACATTCCTATTCATGTGTTTTCTTGTTCAGAATGACAGTTTGTGACACAAACTGAATAAAAATCTATAATTTTGTAGATTTGCTAGATCACATTCTTCACATATTAAAATAAATGCAACAACATCATTCAGAAATTGTTTTATTAACAGAAAAAATCAAATGTCCTCAATATCCTAAAGGCTCCAGAGAAAAGAGTCACGAAGTTAGCCTAGTTATTTATAGTAACATATGTATTCTAATGTTACTGTGGCAGCTGAAACACTCTAAGGGGCGACAGAGGACACAGAGAGCATCTATAAATGGGCTTTACTGTCATTACAATAGACACTACACTACATGTCGACAGCAAAGGAGTGTATTCTACTTTACTTCTTTCATTGGAATGAAGAGATGATGATAATCGATTATATATTTATGTGAGAGAACTAGTCCTTGTCAAACTGCTAATCTGCCATGAGGGTGGTACAAGCCAGCTTGACTAGGCTTGGTGTAGCTATAGTGCGCCTTGCTGCAATGCTCAGAATGCAGCTTGCACTTGCATTATGAATTGCGCCACGACACATTTTAGAACATAACAATTCATGAAATCATGTTTGCATAGCTTGAAGCATTTGTATACTTGTGTGAAGTACATTTGTTCAAGAACTGATACTTGATCACTGACATTTTAAGTTACTCAGTACTTCATAATTGATCGTGACATCTGCTTTTGTATCAAATCTAAAAATATCTACACCAAGCCTTTTCCTAAACAAATCACTTTAATACATCTGTCTACATTCTACATTTAACTTGCGTTTTATTCCCCTTATAATGTTAGTGAGGTTATACGTCCCAAAAATGGTCAACATATATATATACATACATACATAATTTTTTACTTAACCAAAATTAAGCTGTTTTGTTACTGCACCTTTAAGTTTGATATATGTAAATGACCTCTGTTCTAATTGGATGTCCTAATACTGTGCCTCATTGAAAAAGCAGTCCAGCCTAAAACACTCCTTATAATTTCAGCAAGAATGCTGCTGAAGGCTGAACAGATGGATATATTATCACCAATATCTGCATTTTCCTTTATCACAAATATTTCCACTTTTCTGTGCACAAGAACACATTTTAAAAGATCCGGCATTGTTAATAGCATCAGGACACCACCCGTCACATTATTTAGTATTGGATCACAAAGAAAATCAATGGTACTGACCATCTTCAGTGCTGCAATGCTGACCACTGGTGTGATAGCTGCAGAAAGGGGGGGGCATGGAGGGCAGTGAGGCAGAGCCAGCTTTGGTCACAGAGGTCAGAGGGATGATGACGACAGATGATGGCGGTTTAATGCAATGGAGATGACATGCAGGGGGGCACGTGAAGCCTGAGTGCTGGAGTTAACACAGCCTCTACTTATGGGGGAAATGAACAGTGGTCCAGGGAGAGGGGGAAAGAGCAAGAGAGAGTGAGAGAGGGAGAGAGAGAGAGAGAGAGAGATAGAGAGAGAGAGGAAGAGGGAGGGGAAGAGAGAGAGATGATGCGCTTCAGAGTTGTGTGAAATTGGGCTTCTTCTGGCCTGTGCTCCTGACCACTGAGCTGCTCTCCCTCCACACTACCAAACAAGGCAAGACTAAACGCAACACTCTCCACTGCTCGAACGACTGCCTCCGTCTCCACGCACTTATGAACACTTATATGTACGCACAGACACATACACTTTGAAGCAACCAAATCTCACACAACATACAATAAAATCAGATGTATCAAAGCAGACAAAACGCTAACCGCTCATTCCATACTGGTTTGCACACTCGTCTACTTGGCCTTGTCATGTCCCCTCTAGGAAATCCCAACACCATCTTACAGCACCCCTCCTAATTACTGAGTTCAAGTGTTTCAGCCTATTGCTATTGTTACTAAGGGGCTGTAATTCAGGGTTTGGGCTTGGCCCAATAGTTCCAGTGAAGGGTAATGTTAACACTACACCACACAAAGACATTTTGGACAATTATATGCTTCTCACTTGGTAGCAACAGTTTAGGCAAGACCATTTCCTCTTCTAGTGACACTAAGCACAAAGTGAGGTCCATAAAGATGTGGTTTGACAAGTTTGATGAGGAGGAACTCCAGTGTCCTGACCTCAGTCCCACTGAACATGAACTGGGATGAACTGAATCGTTGACTGGGAGCCAGGCCATTTCGGCCAGCATCAGTGCCTGACCTTACAAATGCTCCTTTGACCGAATGGGCACAAAATTCCAAAGTCCAAAATCTTATGGGAAGCCTTCCCAGAAGAGTGGAGGCTGTTATAGATGCAAAAGGAGGCAACTCCATATTACCATGGTGGTGATAGGCATCAGGGGTTGCAGTGTCTACAACACAAATACAGTCATTTTATTTATCATCCAAAATGACCAACCTACACGTCTTTTGATATCTGTGATGTTATTGTAAAATATGGTAAATCTGGAAAATATTTTTTTTGGGACTATATTGCCTCACAGTGTCCTACATGCACCCCTCCACCATGAATGGCTTTTAAAAATATTTATGTTTTAGGCCAAATCCTTATCTCTGAACTTTAGTAAAACAATGTATTTTTCATCAGGCAGTGCATTCATAACCATTATGTGTAATAAGTTTCTGTGAGGAAGCTTTTAAAGGCATTAAACACTTCAGACGTCTGGTTTCTATCACCACCACTGTAGGGAAGTTTCTCCAGAGTTCCCCTTTAACGCCCATGGTTTTGGAGTGGGATGTCCAACAAGCTCATACAGGTGTTATGGTCAGGTTTTCACACACTTTCGTCTAACGTACGTTGAGCGTGAGCTGGTACATGTGGGCCAGTGGGGCTAGGCGCTCCATTTGTTTCAAAGAAAAAAGTAAATCAAAAAAAGCTTTCATTTTTGGTTTCACATCATTTTACTTGAAATAAATTACCAGAAGCTGAGTATTTTGGTTATGATGCTAAATTCCTAAAGGGACCTTATGTCTTGCAGTATTATGTTGGCACCATGCTAGCAGAAGTGCTATAGCAGCTGTACAAGAACACCTGGAGCTTATAACACAGATGTTTTAAGCTCATAACTGCTTGGAACAAACATTTAGGTAAGAAATATTTTATAATTTGTAGACTGTAGCTAAATAGCTGTTAGCTAAAGGAACACATCGATATCTAAACGTTACATGCAACCAGTAGCTATCTTAATGACTCAAACGGCAACAACAACCACTGGTTACCATGTGATTTCTGGTGTGCTTGCCGACAGATTTATCTCATCACAGACTCAATATCATTACTGAAAAAAAAACAGAATTGTCACATTTTGGTATTAAAATGGCAATCGTGACAATATGTGACAATACGTCTGACAACACGTCCCTATAACATAATATTAGCTGGTAAATGGAAATTATAGCTGATAATTACGACCAATAACTTGCAGTCTCATTTAAGTTGTGTGCACTGGCGTATGTATAGTCACGAGCTGTGGGCACTTCCATTCATTCAAACTGAATTGGACAGCAATTAAACAGTATACAGCTACCACAGGTTACAAAAATACATAAATAAAATACAAAAATAGAAACTCCATTCTAAAACAAGCACAAATGAGTCTTTACTATGCTCAAATTATGATAAGTACAGATTGCAGTTGCAATCCTGAAATCTTGGGGTGCTGCAGCCCTGTCCGCATCCACGCTTCCTGTGTCCTCAGAATCATTTACTTAATCAAAAGAAAAATACTGTTAGTACTTTTTGCACTTTCAGTTTGTTACATACAGTAATAATAGTGCTCCTAGCGCACAATGAAATCCACTTTTCCTCATGCTTTCAGAAATGTTTTTTTGCTACTGTCACCCTTAGCTCTCTCATTATGGGTCTGGACCCAGCTTTCTGTAAAGCTGCTTTGTGACAATGTCTGTTCTAAAAAGTGCATCATCAGTAAAACTGAACTGAATGTACTATGCACTCAAAATCCACATTAGTCAGCAAACACTGCTAACACCAAACAACCTGAAATCAGAGACAAAATAGTGCTACATCTGCATATTTCAAAGAGCTCTTTAAAGAAATCAACAGACAGATTTAATTACAAGAGCGAATACACAGATAAGGCAATAATGGTGTGGATACGGGAGAATGATTGAGTGGAGTACCTCCAGTGTCTGAGCTTTGGAGTCTTTGGGGTCGCAGAGGGAGGTGTTGATGCGGTGGTTGTTGCGGACGCAGCGCTGGCTGGTGTTCTGAGGCAGAGGGAAGGTCTGTCTGATTAGAGTCAGACGCCCTATAGACTTCATCACCAACTCCTGCACATCCATGTCAGATATCTCCTACAGAGAGAGAGCGAGACAGACACAGAGAGATAGAGAAAGAGAGAGAGACAGAGAGAGAGAGAAAAGAAAGGCCAGGAGAAGGAATTAACATAAAGAATATGAAAGAAACACAGATATCAACCCTTTAATCCTGAGGCACGAGCTTTTAATCTACTCTTATCCTTTAACCCCTCTTCACAGTAGCCATAAAATACAATTTCTGTCTCTTTCAGAGGTCTCTCATTTGACCTAGGCAAAATTTGATTCTTCAACAATATTGAAATATATTGTGATGGAAATGTGTATGATTTTCAAAACCAGAAGTGATTCTTGTCTTTGTAGGTGAGCAAGAAAGACGTTTTGAAAGTTTTGAATTTTTTTTTATAGCGCTTAAATTCTATTTCTTTGCTATATGCTATTGTGCTATTTATCAATACTCTGATTAAACAATGAATAACAAGTCTTTAGTGATCTGAATTCTATCTGATACATTTTATTTTACTAAATGCGGGCATGCATGTGGCCCAAATACATGGTGGAATTTCTGGGGAGGGGGAGGTGAAACATGATGTTATTGATTAATATTACTTTGCCTGCCCATTGGTGTTAGTGGTGAGGCAAACAAAAATCAGAAGAGCAAAAGTCATTGTATTTTAGTGGAAAATCAAAACACAGGAATTTTGTCTTCTAAACTACTTGAAGACTAATGCTTAATTTGACCAGGGAGACAACTTTAAAGGGGCTGCAGCCAAAGTCTGAATGTATATCTAACAAGGTGTTAGGTAACGTTAAATGCAGGGAAAATATGCAACCTATGAGCAATTACATTTTCTGAAGTAAAATTTTTATGGATTTGTACTTCTCTAAACATAATACCAATACGCATGTTTGTGTGGAAAGTGATCGACCTGTTACTTTTCTCACAGAAAGCTGAATTTTGGCCATTCACAATGAATTATTAAATCTGTTTCTAGGTTAAAGGGGAACTGTACTCATTTTTCTGTACGATTTCTGTATGATTTGATCATTAAGATGTAAACACAATTACTCAGGGTGGTTTGATGTGAAATACTCCACTGTAGAGAAATGACTGTTCACAGTGGTAGTGATAGGAACCAGACATGCGAAGTGTTTAACGCCTCTAAAAGCTCCCTCACAAAGTTATCATATAGACATTGTGACCCTTGGTTCCTATCACCACCATTGTGGTGAAATTTGATTCAGTTTCTTTATAATTAACCATTTCACATCAAGTCACTCTAAATGACCTGTTTACGTCTCAATGACTTAATTACGCGAAAATTTTGAAAAATCAGCGGAATTCCCCTTTAAAGTTCATCCTGTTCTGTTAGTTGAGCACCTGGACTGCGTTATTGTTGCTCACAGCTTTAATGTTTATACCAAAAACAGAAGAAATGCACTTAAACTTAAGTTCTTAAGCTGATAGATCCTGTTCCACTGCAGTTCTATACGTTATTCAGTACTTCAGTAGTTTTTAAACTGCTACTTTTGTACCTCTAACTCAAGTTGTTTTTTTTTTTGCTAGGCTACTTTTATTTTTACTTTAGTTATTATTTCATAGAAATACTGTTTTCAAGGCTACTCTACCCATGTCTGCAAAGTATTTGAGAAGTATGACACTCTTGCTGATGACACACTTCCGCTAGAGCTTTTCAGCAGAAGAGCTCTCAACCGCTCCACGAACCAACAGCTTTCCCTCCTCAAACAATAATTCCCTCATGTACACAACTCTCTCGCGTATAAACAGTGAACCACTTTCCCCTCGCATCAAGGTCACTGTCCTCCTTCTCTCATCAGGCCGAGGTCACCTCCACACCAAACTCCTTTTTCTAAATGGTTCAGCTATTTATACCAGAGCCTAAGTAGACCACCTATTTATAATGGCCATCAGTGTTATAGCTATTCCCTGCACGGGTGCTAATCTGAGGGAGGAAGGTGAGTGCAGTGATGATGCGGAGAGGAAAGGGGGAGAGAGGGAAAAGGGGGACACGCCTGCGTGCTGCCTCGTCCTTGCGCAACCTAGAGAGGAATGGTTGCTAATTTTAGCCCGGGGCCATGTTTTCAGCTGGCAGGCGGAGTGGAGCGGACAGGGCTGGGGGTGACATGATGGGAGCGGATGTGGCGCATCCCCCCAATGAAGGTGCATTTCAGAACCACCCAGCTGTTCCCTCTGACATGCCTCATTTTCAGGAGGAGGGTTGTCATTTTTACCTGCAATATCACTGGTAGTCCTTAGAAAGTCATCTTTATAATGTCCATCATTTTCAGATTTGTTTTCTTGTTAACACAACTTGTGTTCAACGAATAGAATTATGTATATTATTATTGTTATTTTTTGCATTAATTCTTTTTGGGGCTCTGTGATGCTAAGCTTACAGTTTTTTCCTGATGTGAATGAGTACTGGGACGTTTTGTGAAACTGATGTAATTTTTTTAATTGACATCCCTGTTTTACCCTATTATTATATCATTATATTATTATTATTATTATTATAATTCAACACGTGTGAGGTGGCCATAGGTGTGCAGGTATCGAGCATTTTATAACGTCTTTGAATGTGGTTCACACAATCAAGATTTTAGGACCACAACTATCATTCTGTACAAACTAATGACACATAACAACTGATAAACTGAGCTAATATGTAACTGCCCAAGTTAAGGGCTTTGTCAGCGATTTCACTGCAGCTTCCTGGGTTAAACTCAGAAACTCACAAATTTACGAGGATCATCTAAATGGATCTTAAGTGAGATTTACAGACAATGTGACATTTAGATATAGTTTAATGGACTGCCTATAAGTTTGGCAAGCTGGGCAGGGCTCCACGCAACGTTCTCCAGCACTGGAACCAAATTGCACTTGATCCTAGACACCGGTCAAAATGTCAACCACTATGGCTGGCATCCTCGTCGGAGAGGTCATTCGCATGTTTCACAGGCAAACCTGTGCACTAGACGACTGCTGCTCTCAGAGAGGGAATGTGTTTTGACAGCCATTAATTAACCTTTTAAGAATAGCGATGGCCGCCAGGGTGGCACGTGGGACAGTGGGTGCACAAGTCCCTCTGAGTGGTCGAATCAACCTCCCAGAACTTACTTGACGACGGTCTAGAGGACAGGCACACTCAAATGAACCTAAAAACCGCCCCAGCCCAATTACTTTTTTGGAACCCCTAGCTGACGAACGCAAAAGGCCCTTGATGCTTAATTAGTGGAGCTAAATCAGAATGACACAAATAGAAGCCTGCAGGGTTATGGCCTAGTTTAGGGTTAGGGTTCTGGCACAAGTCCCCTGCTCAGACTGCTGTCAAGTCAGGCCAGGCATGAGCAATGTAAGGGGTCAAAGCGAAGATAATGTCATCCATCTTTAGATGTAACACATTTGGACAACACAGCTTTTTACAATTTTCAGAGACTCACAGTATTACAGCTTTCTTGACATTGATATTATTACTCTGACATAGTCGAGATATGGAAAATTTCATACTAGAAAGACCCACAGACTGAGGTCATACATATTTACTGAATGTACTTACTAATTCATTAGGTGCTCACAAATGATATGCATCACTTTTTCACATTTGTCTACTCATCATAGCAAGAACATCGGAATATCCCAGTTCTGTCTAACACATTTAAAACAACTTCTGTTTACTTGAAATCCTTAAAAATCACTCTCTGGCAGCACTGCACAAGATCTTTCAAAAACCTTGAACTTCCTTCATTCACGTAATTGCGAGATACAGTTTAGTATTAGAGGAAAACAAAACCCAGTGTCCTCTGCCAAAGGGGTGCATGCATTGAGTACCCTTCACAACGAAAATGCTCTGCACTCGTTTTACAATCCAATTTTCTATCCCTCTTTAAAAGCATTCAGTTACTTTCATTTGTAACTTGGTTCTGTTATACATGTAAGATGCATCTGGATACATTCTCACCTAGAGACTGAGAGCCAGATGTACTAAGCCTTTTAGGCAGAAATAGGAGGAAGTCTGCTTAGAAAAGCATGCATGGTATGTATACAATACACACACAAGAATAAAAGTGTAGTTTATGTGGCATGTGCAAAATTCTTTCCCTCATGCATATGCATCGGATGGAGAACTGCGCAACAAAATTCATGGAGATGTTGGAAGTACAGGATTCAATTTATTATTGTTTTGTGTGGAATTATCTCTATCTCTTAAAATCAGGTGTAAACTGCTAGATGTTTCTCAAAAATACCTTCTTGGGACTTCCGTTAATGGCAGCATCCACCACGGCCAGACAGAAACATGGGAATTGGCTCTCTGTGTTATTGCTTCTAAAATTCTCTGTTTTCAGCTGGAATAGAATTACACTATCTGCAGAATGTTTTGGTTTTACTGTAAATTTTACAGTAAGTTATTGGAAGCTCAGTTCCCAGTAAAGCACTATAAACACAGTACTATACTGTACTTTTATAGCAAAATGTACTGTGAAATTTACAGTGTTATGTCTTAGTACTTTAGTTGCCAGTAAAGTACTATAAATATACAGTATTGTACTGTAAGACATTTCATCATAATTTGTAATTTTACAGTGTTGTAGTAGGCTAAAACTAGGAAACTAAACAAATTTCAACAGTTTTTCAAGTTCCAATAATTGCCGTAAAATTTACGTTTAATTACCACTACTTTGCTGCATATAACTTCAGGTTGCAGTGATTGTTTATAGTGTAGCTACAGCAGGTAGCTGCATATGTTACATCTGTTAGTTCAGATGCATTGCGAGTGCTTACTGCAACCGCATCAAGTCACATTTTGTGCAATGCCTCCTGGTCCTGAGGATTTAGTGTCTGGTCTTTAGGACAATTTTAATTAATAGAAACCTGATAAACCTGAAGTGTGGGAAAGAAAGTTGCAATCCTTTACTAGTGCTCTAGTTTGGACAGAGCCCAGCTTCATAGAGCTTATAATGTAAAATAATGCAACCGCACTGGGAGAGATTAAGTGTTGGAATCTTCGAAAATAGTTTTGATTATAGCAGCCACCTGATCTATGGGAGCCCCCTGCTCAAATCTGGTCCTGGAGGGCCCCAGCATTACATGGATTAGCCTTCGCCTTGTTCCATTACACCTGATTCAACTCATCTGCTAATTAGCAGGTCCTTCATGATTTGAACAAGGGACACTACAACTGGGAAAACACTAAAGCTGTGCTGCACTGTGCTGTGACCTTCAAGAAACAGATTATGCAACGTGACTCTGGAGGAATGTTCTAGATTCTGTACCAGCTGACCCCAAATTAGGGCAGACAATGACGCATATATGCAGGGGGCCCAATGTACGAAGCTTTTTGCACCAGTTTTAAGTGCAAATCGGACACACTGTGCCCTCATGTTATGTACAAAACTGGAGCACAAGCCTAAATGCATAGTTAATGGGCTGTGTGCATGGGGAACTGCAAACTGTGCTTCTCTCATGCATAAGAAGAATGACTGCACACAACATGGGTAGATCATGCAGAAAATGAGTGGAGATATTAAGACGTGTGGCTGATTACATATCCTGCTCGATTTACTAAAGTTCAAGCAACTCGTGGCGACCACTTTTGCATCAAATTTTCTCCGCCTTCTAAAAACAGCTGCAATTTTGCAGTAATATCTCAGACGTTCTGGTGGAAGGCTTCCTTTAACAACAGCGGCATTCGCAGTGAATAGATAGAAGTACAAGCTTCAACCACATGTTGAAATTACATTTACCAACAGAATCATGTTATTTCAGCTCTCAGGATCAAATGTGCATGAGAAGACGTGAGAAGGTGCAGGGCAAAATATGCCATCAAAATATGCCACCTATTCGCAGCCTAAATGTGAGCACAGTCCGTGTTACTGTTAAAAAATCTATTTCCTGAGAGTAAAATAAAATTAATGTAGAACATTTTGATAAAGAAGAACTACAGAGCAGATTTGCTAATGCTTTGTGCAGTTGCACACTCTGCTTTTGGCTCAGTGTTCCTATAGCACCTATAAAAGAACAGAGGGGCGGTCACGGTTCTTTTGCATATGCACAGGAGTTTCTCTCTCAAAGCACAAAATACTGGAAGGAGTGTATTGTAATGGAGCACCTAATCTGATTTACCAAGAGTGATAGTAAATACTGTTTGTGCGCTATTTAACGCCTGAGAAAAGCTCACTTTTTCTCATTTTGAAAAGGCTTATTTTTACTACTAACCTGGCTGCAATTGTTTGCGCTCAGAGAAAAAAAAGAGCGTTTTTCAAATGCGATTACTTATTCTCAGAAAAAGAAATCTGTTGTAAATGCCTACCATGCAATTTCATTCTTAATGTGATGAAGGAAATGAACAAAACTACAACCAAATAGTTTCAGAAAAACAATGTTTTAAATTGCTATTTCCAAAATAAATCTGAGTGTATTTTACAGCGTTAAAGAGCAGGGTTTGCCTAAAAACTCTGACAGCATTTTTTCCAAACAATTGTTGAGAAAACATAATGAAACTCTTTAGCTCCACAACCCCTGCTTTACTAAAGATACTTCTTACTTCATTAGTCTTGCACACTGTGGCTTCTGTAGCTTATGTGTGCGTCTGACAGAAATGCCACAGCTATTGTTTGATGTGCTGCACATAGCCAAGAGGTTACAGTCAAAGTCATGTACTTCTCAAATGATGTGAGTGCGCTCAGTGAAATTAAAAAGGGATCTTACAATATCACACAGTTTCCAAATTAACTCAGCACAGAACTCAGCTCATCCACCAGCTGAAAATGAATGTGTTTCAAAACAAACATTTTTTTTCAAATTTCTGACATGTGTCAAAATAATGTGTTATTTTCGTAAAATGTTTGGAAAATCATACTTTCTTGATGAATGATAACTCTTTTTTTCTTTACTTTGTTATTACTTTGACTTATTAAGTCAAAACCTTAAAAAAGAGTAAGTCATTATTTTAACCTAATGAGTCACAGTTTAAACCTAAAACAGCCATTTTTCTCCTCCCTGGTGGAAATGGGCTTTCATACAAAAAGCACATGAGCCAAACATGTGGTTATGTTCTATATAGTGCTGGTCAAATGTTACTTATGATGTTGTGCCTGTGTTCATTTGCATGGATGTTTTCAGTGGATAATCTGCTGAATTGGCCACCCCTACCAGCACAAAGTGTTGCTGGACTGTCTGTAGTTAGTGTCTCTCTTAATAAATCTAGCCCTTCATGTAGTATAACTGCTATCTCTTTGTCAAAAAATCATCATTTTCTCTTTTGTTCCAAGCTGGTTGACGGTTCCATTATTTCAACATGTTTTTGGTGCATTGCATCTCGTGAGTGTGCAGTTAGTAGGCAGAGCTGTGCACTATGTTTGTGGCACTATGCACCAAATTAGTAAATCCTAAGAAATGTTAAATTTAGACTCACTGTGAGCATGTCATGGTCACATCTAGGCACATTTTTCACTGTGTCTGCACTCAAATGTACATCTAGCCCAGCATGTTAATATATTTTCTGTTCCAACATGTGTAATCACAGTGTTAGAGTACACACTGGTCAGATCTAATCTTTAGTTTAGAATTAGATCAGATAGAACATACATTTTCTTAGAACACAGGTTACAAACTCTGGCCCTCAATGGCTTAAAAAAAGCTCTTGTGCCAAGTTTCATCCTTAATCCTGGCAAGATGAATAGCTCTTAACATAGAAAAAGACTTCTCAGTTCGTTTAAAAAAAAAGAAAGAAAGAAAGAAAGAAAGAAAGAAACAGCCAGGGGAACCCACCCTTAAACCCCAAATCCTCTCTGCAATTTCTCCTTGTCAGATGAACACTCTGTAAAATGCCTTATTGTCTATGGATCCCATTTAATTCTCCTGGAACGGTAGATTTGCCTGGGTATGCCAGTCCTAATTTGAATCAGCACACAGGAAATTGTCCTTATTTGGCTGGCAAGAGCAGACCTTCCAGCACAAGTGTTCTGCTCATTCGCACACATGGACAAGGAACATCATTAATTATAGATGTTGGATTCATCTTCTAAAAGTTTTGTATAACAATAAAGAATCAGCACATCTGTCTCATTTGCAATAAAATATTATTTTTAAAATAAAAAAACTCACCTCATTAATGATGATCCAGTGGCAATCAAAAGCTACCAAGTTGGTTTCCACCACCTGAAAGAGAGAAGATTAATTAGAATATTGATACCAAGTATATACACGTCAGTCAAAACTTTGGATACCTGATTAAATGTATACTATTTATAAAGACATTACTTAGAGTTTAAAGCTTATGGTTTAAATAGGCGAAGACTACCATCTTGCCTATGAGCACTGCACAGTGTGAGAACAGCACAGAATGGACAATTTATCCAGATTAGAAATGTTTGGATTGTTGATCAAAATCATTTTTCATGATTTTTTTTTATTCATAATCTAATGACAGCTATTATTGTTGTTACATGGTAATTTCAAGGTTTATTCAGCTCTGTCAATTTCAGACAGAACTTTGTTGGACTCTCATCAGTTTCAGGCTCTAAACCTGATGTTGGTTCAGGTTTAGACAAAATTTTGTTGGGCTGGGTCAAGTTTGCACTCAAAATCTGATGATGAGGTTCAGGTTGGGTCAGACATGGACAGAAAGTTTTCAGGGTGTATTTGGGTTTGCACCAAATTTCAGGTCAGAGTAAAGCTGTACAAAGACTTAAATGCAAAGCAAATATTAATTGTGAAGTTGAAATAATGAAGATAGCATATGCATTTCCAAAAACTATGTTTTTTACATTGTAAAAAAACAAGTATCCCAAAGATGCCTAGAAGGGGTACTATTCTGGATAAATATTACAGTGTACAGTCACGTGCAAAAGTTTGAACATCTCTAGTCAAAAGGTTTGATGATTTTCTAACTAAAATTAAATTAACACACCCTCTAAAGCGAACAAAGTTAAATATGCCATTTTTCTGCAAATTTCAGCGCATATTTTATAATTATTCACTGCGTTTAACATAATGGAAAACATAATATGTGCACTTTTGCAACAGTCATTTTTTTTTCCAATATGTTAAATTCAGCAAATAAACAGCAATTGTGCATTAATATGTGCAGAACCGTTTTCTCTGTAGAGGATGTGTTAACTCATTTTCACTTAGAAAATCAATCCTAGCAGTGGCACCCAAACTTTTGCATTTAACGGTACAACCAAAGCTACAGTATATATCCAGGGGTATGTGACCCCTGGATATATATGAAACCCTCCTAATTCTTCAATTCAGGTGTTTCAGTCACACCTATTGCTTAAAGGTGTATAAAATCAAGCACATAGCTGTGCAATCTCCATAGACAAACACTGGCAGTAAGTAGAATGGGTCATACTGATGAGCTCAGTGACTTTAAATGTGGCACTGTCATAGGATGACATCTTTGCCACAAGACAGTCTGTGAAACTTCTGCCCTGCTAGATCTGTAAGGACTATTATTGTGAAATGGAAGCATCTTGTAACAACAACAGTTCAGCCACAAAACTGTAGACCACACAAACCGCAAACTCTTCAGAGTACTAAAGTGCATGGAGTGTAAAAATCACCTAATCTCTACAGAGTTCTAGAAGCAACATCAGTACAAGAACTGTGCATCAGGTGTGTCATGAAATGGGTTTCCATGGTCTATAAGCAGCTGCACACAAGCCTAAGATCACTATGTGCAATGACAAGTGGTGGCTGGAGTCGTGTAAAGCATGCTGTCACTGGACTCTGGAGCAGCTGTAACATGTTCTCTGGAGTAATGAATCATGCTACACTATCTGGCAGTCTACTGGATAAATCAGGGTTTTGGTGGTTGCCAGAAGAACGCTACGTACCAGAAAGTACAGTGCCAACAGTTACTCCAACTCCATATAACGCCCATTGTTTTGGAATGGGACGTCCAACAACCATTTAAGTGTGATGGTCAGGTGTCCACATACTCTTGGTCATGCAGTGTGTCTTCCGTGATATACTACATGTCACAAATCAGTGCATTTCAGGAGGATGTAACCACGGATGTGATTGCCTAGTAGTCATGTGACCCACTTGTGGCACACTGGATACTACACTTTACACTAATATGAGGAGCAGCATGCAGTACCATGTATGCAGTATCTACTGGTACAATATGCAGTCCACAGTACACACTGCACATTTCAAACACAGCCTTGTGCTTCGTTAAAACGTGTAGAATACTTGTCTTCGTTAATGAATACAAGCCACGTGTTTTTGACAGAGGAGCTTATTTTAAACAGCCCTATTTGGAAAAAGGCTTTTACTTCTGCTTGTTGTAATTCTGTATGTGCCATTATATCATTTTGCGGAAAATGTGAGAAACAGTAAAAGAAAAAAAAAGAAAAAAAAACTACAGAAAACCCTTCTATGGCTGGACGTCTCCAAACGTGTACAGATTACCTCACAAACATCAAATGACATCAGAGTACTTTTATCATACATGGTCTCATGTACACAGGTAAGACTGTGTGGGTAGACTGATTTACAGATCGTGAGCACTTTTACTTTGCCTCCCGTCTACCTTGCACTCTATTCCTCAGTCCTCTACACCCTCCATTAACATATTCAATAGCGCTGTTTCTCATCCCCTCTTAGATCATTCTCTTTTCTGCCTTCCTCTCCATCTCTTTCCATCTCTCTCCCTCTACGCCCACATGAGCATGAGCCCACCAATGTTTCTCCTGCCCACTGTACCAGCACTGGATTCCATTATCCGTAATTGTAGAGGTGACTAAAAGCGGGTGTCATAAAACACTTTGCTTATAAACAAAGGCAACAGCTGGAGAGTATGATGGTTGGTGCAGTGCTAATAGTGTTTTAATCTTCCACAAAGACCTAATAAAACTTCATAATTACAGCCGAGACAAGAGGCATAAAGCATCCCATCAATTGGAACGTGAGTGGAGGCTGTTGGATTAAGCAAAGCACAACTGTAGAGGCTCTACATTCACTCTTCTCTTCATACAGCATGACGGAATAGTTTCTGCAAAGACTGATATTAGGGGAGTTAGTAATTTCCATTTGATTATGATTTTTTAGGAATTGATTCAGTCCGACTCCACTATGCTACCAGTCGAAAGTACAGGCACCCCCAACGAAATGTATGTAAAATGCTTTGATCAACTCAAATTTGATTTTGCTCTAATGCTTGAAAAGATGTTACCTAAACAAAAATAAATACTGCACATTTCACGTCTTCACTTTTATTCAAACATAAGTGAAATATTCAACTAAAAATAAAAAATAAGGAAAATCTATCTTAGGCCCATACAAAGGACAACTGCAGAATTGTATGGTGCAGAAATGTGAACACTCCCAGTCAAAATACAGATTTTTGTCAATGAAAATAAGTTAACATGTTCTAAAGGGAGTTGATGTCATAAAAACAAAATTTACACATATTCATCATTTAATCTACAGCAGTTTTGTCCTGCCTATTCACATTGAAATTATGAGAAGTGTTTCAACCTTGCCTGCTTTTTGAATAAGACACAATACAGGACAGCCAATCCAAACAGAGATCATTTACATATATCAGCATATAAATCACAGTAACAAAAACTGTGACAAACAATGTCAGGAAAATGGTGACGTAAAATGGTCTATTTTTGGTACATAAACACATACAAACATCATAAGTAGACCTCAGGGAAAAAATACAAGAAAACTACAGGTTTGGGGATATATAGGATAGACCTGTCCGGGGTGTTACCTGCCTTCCGCCCAGTGAATGCTGAGATAGGCTCCAGCACCCCACCCCGTGGACCCAGGAGGATCAGCAGTTTGGAAGATGTGTGTGTGTGCGTGTGTGTGTGTGTGTGTGTGTGTGATATAAGTTTACAATGTAGTACAATATTTACAGTTTTAATACATTTTTACTTTTAAAACAGCCCAAGAATTGTATTTTGGACAAAAAGGAGTGCATGCTTTATTGCATATAATTATAATCACATTCAAAAATCTACGCAGTTTAATCATCACCCTCATTTGTATCTCAGACTTTTTTGGGGGCATTTTTACACCACTAACCAAAATACAGAGCTGTTTGCCAAACACAAACTGCACGTTCAATTATTGACTGAAAGGTGGCAAACAGCTATAACAAATCTGGCCCAGAAATGGAAGTGCCTCCCTCTCCATAGTGTGAAATCTATTACCCCAGGCGCTCCCAAAATAAACAATACACGGAGCCAAACCTCAAGTGACCTTTATTTTTGTACTCCATGCATGCGACTTAGATATTTTATGCTTGGTAAGGTTATAACAATCCGTGGCCTGGCAGTTGTGTGGGTGGAGTGGCAGTCAACATGCAGACACTAGTCGGGGTTAATGCTTTACTGCCTGCTCAGTGAAAGTGTGTGTGTGTGGGCAGGACCCTATGGCTCAGTCTATATGTTCACAGTGTCTCACTTTGACTAGCCAGATGTTTCCACTTAATTGGAGTGCAGGCTGAAAACCCCAGGAGAACGATTTCAACCTCAGACTCTTCTTACTCTGCAAAGTAAGAAGGCTACAACATGTGACAACTGTTAACAAAATGGCAGCAAACAAAAGATGTCTAACGGTAAAAACATCTCCGAACAACATCTACAAACATGTAGGTCCCATAGTGGCAGAGACGATGGCATCTACTACTGACTGAGTTAGGCTTTCGCATTTAAAATGCATATGGGTAAAAACATGCATATATATATATATATATATATATATATATATATAATATATATATATATATATATATGTATGTTCTCCATAGTAAAGTGTATAAACAGTACACTGCAAATGTCAGAGACCACCTTTATTTAATTTCTAGGCAAAATGGCCCTCAGGTACAAGTTATTCATTTTTCATTAGATGTTTCTGTGGAGATTTGATGTACTAAAAATCCACTTGCATAATGAAGAGGAAAGTCAAAGGAAAAATACACATTGAACATTGTGTTTAGATTAATGCCATCTGTTTGATGTTGGAAATAGACTAAGAATGATGGAGAACTAAAAGCTTGAGTTTATGTCTGCATATTAGTTTCTTTTCTCTTAGCTGTAGTTTGTGACCAAAATCTATAAACCTGTGGCATTGTCACATTGTGCTTTTTCATGGCGTAATAGGCAGAATGATGAGATTGTGCTATTTAAAGA